ATATATATATATATATATATATATTCTTTAATGGTATATGTTTTTAGAAGGTAATAGGGAGTCAACTGAAACAAAAAGCTGGGAAAATCTGGACCATAAAAATACAGGAACACTTGAGGCCGAAATGCGGGTATTTGGGTATTCTGAATATTTGCAGACAGTCAGAATAATCAGAAGATTTGAATCATGACTAATCATGTTTTGACTGACGAATTTGTGAGTGAGAGAACTGGATTTTGTGGAAATAACGACAGTTCCTTTTGTATTGAATATATTTGTAGTCAACAAATTAAATATATTGATACAATAAATCAGTTCCGTTTCCAGTTAATGTTACTATTTACTTAACAATTTAGTTTTAAATCTATCAAACATTGCTTTAACTTAATATACTTAAGACTAATGCAATGTTTGATAGATTTAATTTATTGAATATTAGTATTTGACAGATGCAATGTTTTTTTTATAGAAATGAAATAGTTAGGAATAATTTTTCCGTATATACTCCTTTAGCCTTGAAAATTCTGATAAACTTAGAAGAAAAAAATTATAATGTTTCTTTTTTTTTATATACAAAATTATTATTGTTTTTGTCTTTTCTCTGTTGGTTATAGACTGGAGATATACCAAATAATTTATTAAAATGCAGCTTGATATAATCAATTTCTGAGAATTATGCATAGTTATTGGTTTTAATTGTGTATTTTTAGTTCAAAAATAATTTTTTTAAAAAACATTTCATAGTTGTAAATTAGTTTAAATATGCACCTGAACAGAGATTTTAAGATTATATGTCACCATAAAAATTAATAAAACGTTTAATAAAAGTTCATAAAAATTCAAACCAATGAACACCATTATAAACTGACTTTAAATAAATTGTCCTAAACTGAAAATAGAAAATGTTAAAACACGATCGTTTATGCGAAGTAATTTTTATGCTCAAAATTTCAATGCGAAAAAGTATTAAAAATTATTAAAATTTAAGTAATGAAAATTTGTTTAAAGGCATAAAACAAAGCAAGAAGACAAACATTTTAAACTTTAAAACAATAAAGACTCTGTAATTTTGTAAGAAAACATTTAGAGAGAAAATAGAAGAGAAAAATACAATAATTTGTGTAGAAACTTCCACCTATGAAAAAATTACAAAAGGACAATTCATAATAAACAAGTAAAAATAATTTTTAATTATTTTTTTATAATTAATAATTGATCTATTAGATATCAAGTTTCTTTGATGCAAAACTTTCAATACTAAACTGAATTATTTAATTGTACTAATAAATGAACGAACTATAAACTACGAAATATAAATTCACTTAAAATGCATAGATATAAAAGTATAAATTAAGTAAAGAATAAAAATTAGTATTAAATAAATGCTTTGAAAACACATTCAGTACCAAAGTATAGAATGAAATAAAAAAATATTAAATTTATAAAAATAAAAAATATTTTCAATAAATATTACTGTTGGTCGTAAATATTATTTTTTTAATAAACATTACTGTCTTATTAAATATTAATGTTGTTTAGAAAAAAGCGAAGATAAATAGTAAAATTAAAGAACATATATACTATAAATAAATGGAAAAACATTTTTATATTTTTTCATCTAAAAGTTCATAAAGAATACCATAAATTGAAAAATGAATTAATTTAAGGATATAATAGTTTATATTCTTAAATTAAAAAGTTACATTGGGAACAATTTCCCCAGTTTAAATTGACTTTATATAAGAGTATCTAATATTTCATTTGATATATTTTCTCAATTCAAAATTAATTTTACATGAGAACATCTTACATCATATTTCATATACTATTAGAAACATAGACTTAAAATATTTAGTGACTTTTTAAAAAGAATCTTTGAATGCTAAAACAGTTTAGACTGAGAGAAAAAGAAACTGTATAATGCACACAATATTTACTTAATGATAAGATGATCTTCTAAAATGAGTTTTATTAATATAGTTTTAATTAAATATGTACTCAGAAACATATCATTTAAAATGTGAGTTTAATGGTATGGATTTTTTCAATGTTGCATATTGCTCTTTAAAACTTTTAAAATTTCAATTAAAAAGATTGCTTACGAAAATATGTAACAAGGTTATGATATACACATACATTTCTACGTTTTTAAAATATTACAAATTAAAGGGATTAATTTTAAGTAAAAATTAGTTTAAAGACTACTAAAATTATTTTAAAACTCTCTAAATTTAAATTACATATAATTTACCTGCATTCCAATGATGGCATAGATGAAAAACAACATGGCGATGAGGAGGCATACATAAGGTAAAGCCTAGGGAGAGATTTATACTTGAAAATAAGAAAATTCAAAATTATGGTATTTAAAAAAGACAGTTAAAATTAAACCCTCATTTTACATGAGAATAAAATCTACGATAAGAAAAAAATCACTAAGAATAAAATCTAAATGAAACAATAAATTAAAAAAATCATGATTTTTGAAGAAATTTTAAAATTGTAATATCAATTGGCATATTAGAAACGCAAAACATTCTTAGTGGAGACTTAAAATTAGAATTATAACTACGCTTGATACACTATAAAAATAACTGTAAATTCTAAAACATATTTCTTACAGAAAATAACTATTTAAATATAACCGTTTTTGACCGTTATCGTCTAGCTGCGAAAAATTTCTGTTTTTTAACAAACTTTCCCTGTATATTTGATGGTTTTAAGCAGTTTATCACAAGACAGTTTTTCTCTGTGTTCCACCCTAACCATAAACGGATTAAAACTGTCAATTCAAATTCTAATTTTTGCCTTGCAGTTTTGTTTACAGTACGAAAACTTAATATTTTTTTTTCAAATAATTTTACGATTATTCTCCATACTTGCTCTTACAACAGACTACAATGCTGACGAAGTTATTTTGTCGAGTTTTTTTTGTGGTTAAAATAACAGGTTTTATTGTTAAAATAACAGTACTCATCTGCTCAAAAGACAGGCGTCCGTTTTTGAATTGCAGTATTTTTCTGCGAAATAAACTGTTTAATATTGGCACACCAGCTGAGAGGTTTTTTTATAATTTTTTGACAGTGTACTTAATGGATCCTAAGTTTGCATTTAAAGTTTAAACTTCAATCTACATACTTGAAACATTGTTCTTTTGTAAACATTTTAATTCAGATGTTTAAATCATAATAAAGTACATTTATACATTAAATAAAAGACACCAGATCCATGATAGACATTTATAATTGAAGCATCAAGTGGCATGTTTAAAATTTGGTAAAAAAAGAAAATAAGGAAAATCATGTGTCAAATTTACCTTGAATGATTGAATGAAAGTCCATAACAATATCCTGATTGTATAACCTTGACGCAAGAGTTTAATAAGGCGGGCAGCTCGGAACAAGCGTAGAAATCCAACATTGATGAAATTAGCCTTTTAAAATAAATCATAACACAAATTAGTAAAGATTAGGCTGTAGAAATGGAAAGCTAAAGTCCCTTCATGATCGATGGCTAATAGTGAGATTTAATTACACAGAATAAGAGTTCACACGGAGAAAAAATTCTGGTAAAACTACCTTACGCATGGCAATGACATTTCTAGTTAAAAAAAATCAATAACTCTGGTAAATGAAACCAAAATGCACGCTATTTAAATCATTCATTTGGTCCTTTTTCCTGTTTGTGTGGCAAGAGTTTACCGAAAATTCTGGTTTTCAAAATTATTGCTCTGGATATTTTTCAGGATCAACAATTTACCACAGTAAAGATACATTAAAACAGAAAGGAATAACTTGCATACTTCTATTTATCATGATAAAATTGTCAAATGTTTACCAAATTTTACCTCATTTACTACGAAACATATGGTAAAAAACCCCTTTATATGGGAAAAAACCATACTTCATTGTTAATTTTACCAAAATCATTACCAAAGTGATTCGGTAAAAATTATCGAGAGTTAAGGGTTCCCGAAGAGCCAGAAACACCGTAAATGCTATTATATATTGGTAGTTTTAACCATACTTTTTCTCAGTGTAATAATCAACACAATGAAATAAAATATACATCAACCATTTTGTGCCAAAATAGCATCTCAGTTTTATTACTGAACAGAATAAAACTGAAATAGAATGTTATTAGAAAATTAGATTGAGTGTTATAAGTGGACTGAAAATAAAAGGTCTAATTAATTCACATCTTCTCATCTTACGCACTTTTTCACTTTGGAACTTCGTCAATATTGTTTCACAATTTAACTATATTTTTTCTCCAGGAGTTTTTCATTAAAAATGTTCATCGTATTTGTAAGTCTTTGTTAAGCTTCTATTAATAAGTAATAAAAAATGGGAAATTTACGAGTCTAAAATTTTGATCTTTGAACTTTCTTGTTAAAAAAATTGAGATAATCTATAAAAAGTAGAAGTGAAATACAAAATTATTAAGAAATGTTATTAGATACATTTTGAGCATTGAAATAAGAAATTCAATTACTTCTTACAATGCTTTTCTTTCACACACTTCATTTCTTAAAAGAAAAAAGCTGAGGCGAGTATAAATTCTCTACTTTATGAACTAACTTCTAATTTTAGATAAAGAACGTATTTATTCCATTGTATAAAGTTGTTTATTATCACATTTTTCTAATTTCTTACTTTTAGGGTTAAAAGAAGTTAACAGGTTTCGCATTTGTCTTACATACATATTTAAATAATGGATTTAATAAAATAATAATAAAAACAACTTAAGTAACATCAATTTGACAAATTAATAGTATTTTAAAAAACTTCCTTTAAAACTATGCTTAGACTACATATCCTAAACCTTATTTAAGAAAAATAAATATTTGTATTTTATCTCTCAACACCTTTATTCTAATTAATGAGTATGAATACGTAAATTATATTTGAAGGTACTTTGTATATTTATGAGACAAATGCTAATAAATAAAGGGTGTTCCAAAATTTGCATAAGATATATTTTTTCACTATTTACGTTATAAAATGTTGGCAACGAAACAAAGCGGAATGATTGATGATAGTCCAGGATTAATAAAAATAGAGCAATACATAAAAGAACAACACGTTTTTATTGTTTAGCTATATTCTCAGCATAGCGTCATTTTCTGGTTGTACAGCTTTTAATTTCAGTGATTAGAGTTTGTTTCCCCGAGCCTATTTTTTAAATTTTTTTTTAATTTTAAGGGTGTTTTGAAGTCGAAATTTCATTTCAACAAACCAATGATTGATATAAGAATGATGAAATAGAATGTCATATCAATCAAAATCAGTTAAATTTACGTAAAAGGTCTTAGAAAATTTCGATAAAATAGCACATGCGAAGCAGTAAAGCTCCACATTACCTGATGTTCTGAATTAATAAAATATTCTCAATTTATAATTAAAAACCAGTGTCTTGAAATAAAATTTTTCTTGCTTAAAGTTTGGGATACCCTGTAAATCACAAAGTTTTTTAGTTTATTCATTAACATCTCTTAATGCTTAACACTCAGAAAGCAATTAATAAAAAATTTTATCAAGGAAAAACAATTGAAATTTCTCACCCCAGTTTCAACAACTAAAGCATCTACAACACTTCCAATGACTGTGATGAAATCAAATGTGTTCCACGGATCCTTAAAGAAATTCTTAAAACGAAATATTTAAATATTAAAATATGTTCATTTTACATTCTCAACATGAACAAATAATAATTTTGAAATAAGTGGAAAACAATTTAAATAATATTTAAAATAAAAATATGCTGCATGTGATATGCTGGAAATTAATAATTCAGAAAAATCTTTCCTTAGAATTGAAGTATCATACAAATATCTAGTAGTCAAATATCTAACTTTCTTTCTTAACAAATATTCTGGATAAGTAAAGTTTGTATTTTAGTATTTAAGACAGTTAAATTATAATTAGAAAAGTGGCATATCGTAAAAATATATAACATTTATATTTTGCTCATGCCGCTGTTCAGATTTTAATTCCAGCTACCTGTCATAAAATAAAGGCATATTTAATGGAGCTATTATAAATGAAAGTTAAATTTTTTAAACCAATATTATTTGTAACAGAGAGGCTTTTCCTTTTTATTATTTTGACATCCCAAAATGGCCAGGGAAAATAACATTTTCGCTAAATTAAAAGACGATTCTTTTTTTCTTCTTCTTACGATCATTAGTACTTTTATAAAATTAAGTTATAATTCAAGAGTGTATTGTAAGAATATATAACATTTATATCCTAATTATTCTGGTGTTCAGAGTTTTATTATATAAAACATTCACCATGAAAGAAATGAGTTTATATTATGGTTATTAATTTATGAAAGTTAAATGTATATCAGAATTAACATAGAATATTCTAACACGCACACTAGAAGATAAGCAGCCTTTCTCAATTTGAAAAAGACAGAAAGAGCCCACTCCAACTTTTTTATATTTTTTAGTTCGTCCCAATTATTGATCATTTTGTGCTTTCTGTGTTTTTGCTATTGATCTTAAAAACTGTGACAAAATTTACTGCTAATTTTAATTTTGAAAACCTTTTTTTCTTATAATAAGAGATAGCTCACTTAATTTGTGCTGATTTCGCATTATTTGTTTTTCTCTTCAATCTCAATAGTTTCCACAAAAACAAAGAGCATTTTACTGATAAATTATATTGTTTAATTTTTATAAATTTATGTAAAAACAGTTTGTTGATATGCTAATCATAACGAAAATGAAGATTTTATGGATTAGAAAAATAATAATTTATACTTGAAAAAAAATTTAACTTAGGAATTCGGAATGTCTTATATAATAATAAGAAAAAAATGAGAAGTAACTTAACAATACCAAGAGACTTATCTCATGTTCGAAACTTATCTTAACAAGACCTTATCTCATGTTCAAATAAAAAAAAAACGATTTTATCTCTCTTGAATCAAGATACTTAAACAATTTTAAGAATCTCCAAATAAATACCATGATTTATATCTGACAACATCTAATCACTCTTTTCTTTTCAACATCATTCAAAACAGCTACTGCGACTCTTATATTTTAGTGAAGAGAGATTATTATGTATGTTATTATATATATCTTGCTCATCGAACATTTAAATTGGTTTCCTTCAAAAAAATGTGGTCAATCAGTAAGTCACATTTTATAGTTATGATAATTAATAGAAATTCTGTTATCAGTTTAAATCAATAGCTGTGTATATATTGCGCAAAGTTTTGCCTCAATGTAATAGAAACGAACTTAATTTTCTTCATCAGTATTTTATGCTTGAAGAATTATTTCAATATGATTTACCTTTTTGTTTCTTAAAAATTCGGAACTAAGCTAAAACAATTAGTGTTTCAAAATTCAACTATGCTTGATTAAAATAGAATCGCAATAAAATTCACTGACGGAAAAAAAATACCAACACTGAAGAGCAGTGCTAGATAAACTAAATTTTGATTTGAATAGACATATTTTAGTTTATACAACTAAAAGATGTCTATTCAAATTTTGCGCTCGGCGTATAAGTTTGGTGCTAGTGGCGACACTGTGAATGCAAATCAGGGTTGCTTTAAATAGGTGTTCTACAATTCGTAAGCGTTATCAATCTCACAACTTGATAATAGAGATCTCTCCTACCCATCTCTTATCTAATATATGACTTGTATTTTATGTGCATGTCTTTTCAGCTTATGTCTTACAGAACATGACGAATCAGTTGGTGGCGACGAATCATATTTAGCATCCATCGTAAGAGCTATTTTCCGATAAACTTTGGCATAGTGAGTGGCTGTTAGTCAAGAATGCCTTTAATAAGACGAAGAAGCTATTATCAGCAGCTCACTTACTTTGAATGTGGTCGTGTAATAGGGCTGCGAGAAGGTGGATTTTCTTTCCGCGATATTGCAAAAAGACTTTGGAAAAATGCATTCACTGTGCATGATTGTTGGCAGCAAACCGGGTTCTGGGCTGCCATGCGGTACTACTGAGAGGGAAGACTGTGTATGACTGTGGCGCACCGTACTGCGTCTGCATCAGAAATTCAAGCTGCAATTATCACTGCAGTCACAAAACGAATTGATACAAATCGGATACTTTAAGTACAGCTCAGCGCGAGACATCCTGTTTTTTGCATTTCATTCTGTCCAAATCACTATGACACAATGTTAGTGGTGTCGAGTTACAGCTCACTGGAGGACAGAGTGGAGATCTATTGTGCTTTCAGATGAAAGTTGGTTCTGTCTTTTTGCCTGTGACAGCCGTATATCGGTTAGAAGGAGGCCAGATGAGCACCTGCTACCAGCCTGTCTCCGGTCTAGACACATTGGACAGACACCTAGAGTTATGACCTGGGTAGCATTTTCTTATGACAGCAGGAGCATTTTCGTGGTTATTCCACGCATCTTGACTTCAAATTTGTATGTCAACCTGGTGATTTAACTCGTTTTGTTGCCATTCATGAGAGGCATTAAGGGGGTATTTTTCATCAGGATAACGCTTGCCCTTATACTGCTGTTTTAACCCTACATGCTCTACTGAATGTCAACATGTTGCCTTGGCCTGCTAAATCACCAGACCACTCATCAATCGAGTACGTATGGATCATCATTGAACGACAACTTCAGCATCATCCACAACCAGCATTAACTATCCCCATATTGATTGTGCAACAACAGGCATGGAACTCCATCCCACAAAATGACATGTGGCATCTGTATAACACAATGCATGCCCGTTTGCATGTTTGCATTCAAAATTCTGGTGGTTTCACCGGTTTTTAATGTACAAGTATTTCACATTTGAAATGGTTTTTCTCTTAATTGCATTAACCAGTGATCTTGAAACTTTAATCAATGAAACATGTTACACTGCACTGCAGAAATTTCATTACTCTAAAATAAATTTTTCTTGGTGTTGAGATTTTTTTCCATCAGTGTATTAATTGCAATAAGAGTGGTGGATATAATATTCTTCAGTAATCTTGTTCTCAATTATGCTGACATTTTTGTGAGGAAGATGAATGAGTGTTCTTAAGCAAATTTATTAAAGTTATATAAATAATTGACTTCATTTGCTTACAGACTGATAAATGTTTTAGAAAAAAAAAGATGAAAAAAAAAATTCTTATTAAACCAAAATGCATGCATGAAAGTTGTATGCTATAGAATTAGTTCTGTGTTGCCAAATTCGTAATCTGAAATTAAATTAAAAATATTAGAATGAGACAGTAAAATTAAACATATTTACAGAATATAAAATTTTACGTATTTAAAAGGATTAGGGAAATATTAGGATATCCTTGTAGCAAAATTACTAAAATTTATGCATATGTTGTACCTTAAGAAGTATTCCAAGCTAAAACAACTGAAATTTTTTTTCTGATCAACTGAATTTCAGTTTAATTTTAAAGTAACAATTGAATGCTTTAAATGTTAACTTTAAGAGTGATGGATTGGTTATCGTAATAAATAAAAATAACGATAACGTTGCAATGAGTTTCTTAGAAATTTTCAATTCCCTTAGAATTGTAACTTTGCCCTCAGATTGTTGCAAATTAAATTTGACTTCTTATTTGTAACAGCTGAAATAGTTGCAGTTGTGTTTACATTACGAAATTTTTTTCCAACAGATTGATGTAACACCATATTTTCTCCATCATTACAGTTTTATAACCGTCGGTGAACAACCGATCCAATTTTTTGGGTTTACGACTACTATGTTCAACTCCGTAGCCTTGTAATTTTGAACCCAATCCAGAAGACAAGAGAACTCCTGGATCAAGTATTGAGAGAAATTTGCTTTCATAGAGGACTTCTTGACGGAACTAACCCGCATTGATGGCAAGGGAACTCTGACCCATGATCCGTTTACCGCTGAAGATTTTTAACTATCATTGCAGTTTGAACTAAATTTATACGCACATATCTCTTTTATTTTTAATTTCAATTTTTTTTTTGTAATATGAATTTGAAATAACTTACCACAAATGCCAATTCCTAGGTACAGTGTGATTAATAATTACAGCAGCATGCTCAACACATATTTTAAATCTGCTTAGGGTAAACCAACCAGTGAAGGAACACTGTCCAGTGAAGGAACATTTCATATATATTGATCAAAAATAAGAATTTGAAAGTTTTTCTTTAGATTGATTGGTAACAATAGCTTACTGCCGAACAATAGGAAGTCATCTAGCAATGTTTTGGATTACCTGGTCAAATAGACTACTCTGGAAAAATTTTTGAATTTGTTATTATCTCTGCAACACCTTGCTTCTTTGAGAAAATTATAAGGTGAGTGTTTGCATTTATATGTTTGAAGTGGAATTAATTGCATGAAATAGTTTTATTTTTCTCACTGTGAAAAAGAGAATTCAAAATACAGTTATTGAAGTTACGTTTTATTCTTTTTAAGCATCATAGCATAATAAAGTACTGATATAAGGGGGTGTTTATTCACTGGATCACCAAACGATGAAAAACCAGTGAAGGAACAAATGTTCCTTTACTGGGTTTTTTTCTAAGTTAATGAAAATAAAAGATGAACTTTAATTTTCTTGTATCTTTAGTGATGTTCCGCATCAAAAGTATGTTAAAAATACGAA